TTTCAGAATCACAAAACTTCCGAAAACTTGTACCATCCAGTGCTGGTGATGGTGTGGGGAGTGGTCACATGCGGATGGTGGGAGGGCAAACTGGATTAGCCGTCACAGAGAGCAACGTGGTGATTTCAATATTTAAAATGTCTGTGTCCTTGATCTAGAATTCTACTTGTAAACATCTCTCAAGAAAGAATGCTAACATGTGCACAAACGTGTGTGTGTGTGTGTGTGTGTGTGTGTGTGTGTGTGTGTATCACAGCAAGTTTGGTACTACAGAAAACGGGAATCAAGCCATAGCAAAATGAATGAAGGTATTTCCATACAATGGAACACGAAGCAATGCTTTTTTTTAACGTACTGACATGAAAAATCTAAACTTAATAATATAAAAAGATGGCAACATGCATTTATGAATTACTAATGCCAAGTACACAGTAAATTTGTTTTATACCTACAGATTCACAGGGGGAAAGAGGGGATTGTTTAATAAAATTGTGAAGGATGGGAACTACGAAGCCAGACCTCCTGAACTCTAAAGTCAGCTCCGCCCTATATTAGCTGTGGGATTCTGGACAAGATACTTCAACTCTTCATGCCTCAGTTTCCCCTCCTATCACATGGAGATAATAATAGTACCTACCTTAATATTCCACTGTGCTGTGGAAACTCATGAGCAACCATCAGCCAAATCCCTTATAGCCAGGATCTCTTCACTCCTTGTTCTAACCCTGAACTTAAGGATGCTGTTCTCTCCATAGCATGGTGGGTTCTTCTCTCAGACCCCACATACTCCTCTTTGCCGATTCCAGGCCATTTCCCTCCCAACTTCCCTCAACAACCCAGGACAGGGGTTGGCAAGCTACACCATAGGCCCAATCTGGCCTACCACCTGCTTTTATACAGCCTAGCAGCTAAGAATGGTTTTCACATTTTGAAATGGTTGGGGGGTGAGGGATTTAAAAGAATATTTCATGACACGTAACATTCCAATCTCAGCGCCCATAAATAAAGTTTCGCTAGAATGCAGTCATTGCTCACTTGCTTACCTGTTGACGGCAGCTGCTTTTACAAAGACAGAATTCAGTTGAGTAGTTGCAACCCATAGCACTTGGCCTGCAAAGTCTAACATATTTACCATCTGCCCCTTGACAGAGGAAGTGTGCTACCCTTGCCGTTGAGGCATGTGGCAGTAGTCTGTACCATCCACTCCCAATCAGCTGCCATCATCTATAACCTGCCAGGTTTCTGCACCATGTGTACTAAAATACATACAAGCCTGACAGCTGGATGGCACAACTACTAACATCAGTGACTGAAGGAAGTTCGACATTACCTCTACGGGTTGGAATGTTGTGTGGAAATCAACAGGATGAAATGGAAAGTGCATATACTAAGTCCCACGCAATGCTCGTGATCAGAAAGAATGACATATAGAGCAGGACCAAGACCTGGTGTTTGCTGACAGAGGCGAGAACCAGGATGAACAAGAAAATGTTATGGGGAAATGTTATCCATATAATGGAATGCTAAGCAGTAATAGAGCTATAACATTATGGAGCAAATTGAGGTCAGATGACTGTCCTAACAAGCAGAAAAATCCCGGATAGAACAGGGTGCCCCGGGAAGGAGAGAGCCTGAGCCTGGAGTGCACAGAGAGGGCCCCGCTCAGGGCCAGACAACCTTGAAGACTTGTTAGTCCTATGATTATATACTATTACATTTAAACCAGAGACTCTCATTCTTTTGCTAATTAGATGCTACAAACAAATTTTCTTGGGGAAAAAATGAAAAGTACCAACATTTTTTCTCCCTAAATTTAAGTACAAAGATGAAACACAATCACGAAGATACTTTTAGGTGACAGATGACCAATAAACTCATATCTTATTTGGGAAGTGTTTGATGAGGTTTAGTTTTTATTTCTTCAGAAACCAAAACAAAGCAATATGAATTCTGAGTCTTATCAGTCCTTAGGATTACAGCACACATAGCCTAGCAGGCCTAAGTCTATAAGGAGACTTGGAGATTTTTCTCCTTTTCAACTCTCTTTAAAGTTTTATTATCCTCAATGGGAACACACCAGTATGACATATAAATCAAATACCCTCTCTAAAAAATCAGAAGGGTAAACTCACTCAATGACTATGTTAAGAATGGTTAGTTGGGAAGTGGTTTTGTCCAATTCAGTCATTGAAAGGCAAAGACCCAAAGCTTGGATTTAATCCATGGCTCAGCCACCTAGTCCTGTGATTCGTCTCAAGGCACCAACCCCGATTGCTTGTTCACTTGTAGAGTGAGGATGACACCTGTCCTGTCTGGGTCCTTGTGAGAGTTAAATGATGTAATGGTCACATGATGTAGAAGGGCCATCTGAGGACAGGTTGACATATACATTTTAGGACATCATGAATCTCTTTCTAGACTCTAACATTTTTATCTTCTTTACAAAAATGTCAGCATTGGCTGGGTTACAGAGATATAAAATCCTGCCTGAGATTCCTCCTGGGTGGCGTATGAGGACATGTTGCTACAAGTTAGCAGTTCATCGGGCCAGAACATTCAGGTAGATGGAGAGTAATCTAGGTCAGGCATGCTTCTGTGTCTTTCAGGGTCTACAGGGAATCTAACACAATGGATTACTTGGTACCAAGGTAATGGTACAGATGTTGAGCAGGTGACTAAGCTATGCATGCAGAGATCCTTTCCAACTTTGCTTCTCGCCACCCTTTCCCTCTATCCCACTCCCAGCTCTGCCAAAATCGTGCTGTTGTTTTGGGGCCATGAAGCAAAATTCCTCCAACAGGCCTTATGGATGAAACCACATCGTAATCATCAACATGTAAAACCTTATCTGCCTAGAGCAGCATTGAACAGACTGTCAAACTACAGCAGGAAGGCTGGGGAGGGTTGGGGGGCGGGAGGGGGGAGTGAGAGATCAACTGAAGGACTTGTATGCATGCATATAAGCATAACCAATGGACATAAGATACTGGGGGGTAGGGGAGGCCAGGGGAATGTCAAGGGGGGGAAAAAGGAGACATATGTAATACTCTTTGTAATACTTTAAGCAATAAAACAAAATTTAAAAAAAAACAAACTTATCTGCCTTTACAAGCTAGAAAATGTATTTTTCTCAAATAAATGCTACAAAATGTACATGAAAGTAATAATTTCAGTAAAATGAAAAAGCATCCCTGTCGAAAAGACTGAGACAGCAGCACTGAGAGCAGCATCTGTGGCCTCCCTGTTCCAGATCCCACCCAGCCCAGCGCCTCAAAACTGGGAACGCTGCCCAGGATGGTCCACTCCACTGCCGTTACCTATCACAGGGCACTGTTGCCTGAACTCACAACATAGGGACCTCTGAAAAGTGTAACAGCAAGAAACAGAACAGGAACAAACATGACACAAGTCATGTTTACACAAGTAAAAGATCACCAAGTGCTGCTGACAAGGTCTCCTACCTCTTACCCTCAGCATCTTTGGTGGGTTTAATTTCAGCCCATTGTGAACACTTTCCTCGACTCTCTCCATGTTGATTTTTTCAAAAGTTAACTAACTAGAAGCAGAGCTAGAGAGAGCTTCAAGGGCCTTTTGAACATTGCCTGAGTTTCTTGAAGATCTTAATCACAAAGTGCAATGTCCACAGTAGATGTTCTTTTTCATCAATCTGTTTAGAAGTTCTGGTATTCTTTTCACTAAAATAGAGCTTGTTGTACACAGACTCTCAGAAACAGAAAAACCTGTAGCTAGAGGCCTATGGTAGAGAAGGGTGTCAACACGGACAGTGTCTTGCACATCACTCCCAGACCAATGCCCTCCTCCACCTGCAAGAGAAGGCACCCAAAGGCATGGGCTGGCTCATCGGTTAAGTGATTCTGTGAATATCAGACCACTCAGGGCACTTCTCGGTAGCCAAGGGGGTGGGTGGTTCCTTAGGCATGGAGAGGAAGAGACATATCTTGATCACTCTCTTAGGGTCACCCAACTTATTCTGAGTTTTGTTCTTGTCCACCATGCAGCCTCCTGCCCTACTTTTGGCTCCAGGTGGATCTCCATGATGGGGAAAATGCCCCACCCAAATGAAATGAGCAGGGCTTCCACTCTGGGTAGCAAGAAGAGGGGCACTGACATTAGTGTATCAGCCCAGTGGACCAGGTTGGCATGGACTGGTCCATAGAACCCCATCATCCTAGTAAACTGACAGCATCGGGAAGACAGAACTGGCCCCAGGCCCCAGGACAGCATGGCCATCCTTTTGCTGCACCTGTGTTTTACGGAACCACTTCTGCATTCCCTTGGCTTTTGTCAAACTTTATATTTTTAATATGCACAATTTCTCATGAAATTGTCAGTCTATCCATTTCTTCCTATCGACTTTCCTCATTCTTTCTTTCTCCCAGCCCAGATGTGAGGTTCCTATGGACAGAGATCACCTCTTTCCAATCACATCTCTTCTTGGCTTCAAACAGTCCTGGCCTATAATAGACACTTACTAAAAATGCTTGCTGTATGACTGACTAAGTGATGGCATTTGTATTTACTGAAACTTTATATGTATATACAATTATATATTTTATATTTATGCACGAATAAATTAAAACTCAGAGATTTGTGCTATTTCACTTAGCCTCAGCTATGTATTGTCATGAGTATCTCAAGACTCTCACATTTATGTGGTGGCCTACCATTTATTTCCAGGCCAAAGCTTCGTGTTTTGGATTCTTTTCCATTAGATAAAGCACAGCTTTTAAAAGCAGATGTTAACTTTGATATTAAATGATATAAAAACACAAGTGGGTGAATTAGAGTTCATGGGGTTATAAGAACAAATCTGTGCTTGTCACCAGGGCCACCTTGCCCTGGGTAGTCCCGAGGGAATGTGGGTGGTGTTTTAATGGTAGAGAAGAGGCAGGGGAGTAAGGGGTGGGGGTGGTAGGCACCTGGGGAGTTGGGGCCTCCCTCCCTCATATCTTTGCGCCCTTCTCCAACTGAATGCTTACTTTTCACGGAGATCCCGCACTTGACTGGGCTTGAATCCTGGAGCCGCCTGGGAGCAGGGACTGGTGGGGGCCGACAGGGGACCCCTGACGCTCTGCACTGAGTGCCTGCGGCTGCGCCTGCGGTCCAGGCCCCGCTGCTCGCCCACGCCACCCCCGGAACACAGGCTGGCCCTCCTCCGGTCCCGACGCCCACTGGGGGGTGGCTCAGCCGTCTCATCACCGTCCTCATGCCGCAGTGCCACCTGCAAAAGCAGAGAACGCCCAGTGAAGGTCAGACTTGACATACTTTCATAGCCCCTGGGGGGGCGGGGGGCGGGCTGTGCACCTCAGGCTCGTCCTAATGAGAATGTACAGTCTCTCCCCAACCTGCAACCTCCGCTTCGCAAGGTCCTACAGCCACACCCACCCAAAGCCCAGTCTGCAAACTGAAAGACGCCTGCCACTGTGCATTTCCCAATCAATCAGATACGAAAAGGGCAAACAATGTCCCGAGCAGGTCTGAGGAATGTTCTGTAATCAGATGGCATCTTTACCCTGGAGCCCAGCTTTGCCATTTCTCGGGCCCAGGAGGTAGAGGCCCCTCTGAAGCCCAGTGGTTCCTGATGGTTCCTGAGCTTGATTTCCCAACGAGGGAGCTAAGAAGAGCACAGCAAGGATTCTGCGGGGATGGGAGCCACAGGATCCAGGTGAGGGAATAACCTCACCCACAGATCTTTTTTAAGCCTCACTTGAGGACATGTTGAGAGAGAAACATACATCAATATGAGGGAGAGAAACATCGATAGTTTGCCTCTGACCGGGGATAGAACCTGTAACCTAGTATGTGCCCTGACCAGAAATAGAACCCGCAACCTTTTGGTATACAGGATGTTGCTCCAACAAACTGAGCTACCTGGAGATCCATCTGTATCTCCAGCGTCTTTAATTTTTGGTGCCTACATTCTCCAAAACTGGACAGTAAGAAGGGCACAAGCTGTCACTGACTAGGCTTTTGTGTACACAGCAAGCTGACTCTGCCATTAACAAACAGGTGTGACCTGTAGCAAATGGCCTGCCCTCTCTCTAGCTCACCAAATGAGGAAAATAGTATTGCATTGGCAGGTTTGTAATAGGAATAACTTACATTAGGGTTATTTATGTAAAGCAGCTAGAGTAGGGCATTCCCTGTGGCTGGTACTCACTATGACTGTCATTCCCCAACCTATGTCCTCAGATGAAGGGGCCTGGGATACCCACAAATTCCTCCATCACACAGAATTGGCGGATCAGCCACCTCCAAGCCCAGGTAAGCCAGGCCCCACCGAGTCCAGCAGTCTCTCTGACTTGTCAACCACGGAGTCCCTTAGTCTTACGTCCCCAAAGATGCAAGTGATCCAGCCCTTGGGTGTTCTCAGTCACATTTCACAACTTGGTCCTGATATGAGAATGGAGAAGTAATATAAAGACAGAGAGATAATCACACCATATGGCCTATATCACTCATTCTCAGAAAATCTGGCTACTGCAAAATCAGTGATCCCCTATGTCCACTGTTCATCAAACAAGGTGGGCTTGGCTGAGTCAAGGCCAGATGGCCACTCTCGTGCCGGTTCCGAGGAGTGAGCACCTGAGACATGGCTGTTTCACAGGACAGCACCCACCCTTTATCAGCCCCATCTCCATCCCCTCCAGCTCCAGCATCTAGAGAAGGTCGATTTAGTGAAAACTCTTATCTCTGTGCCAGATACATTTTATAACGAACTCTCAGATATAGAAAGGCAATTTAAGATTATTTTGGCTTTTTTGTGTCTCTGAATTTACTAACCAGACATCATTTTGGGGGGGATTGAAGTAAAAATTGATATGAGTTCAGAAAAAGCTCTGTTGTTATAAAATCTCATTGGAAAGTTTGTTCCCTAAGGGTCCCCTGTCTGGTTTAACTGGAAGAGCTAAGAAATGATGCATTTTGTTAATCACATTTATCATCTCAACGTTAACGCTCTAAATGGCATTCTCTGGGGAAAGTTTGAAGATGATTATGTACCAAACCAAGGACAGTGTTTTTAAATATTAAATAGTTCCTGTCAATTACTTTTTCTTCATTTTGAGATAAAAAATTCTAGACCATTTGAACTTATTCTGACCTGGGTACTGACTCTGCTTCTTATTAAGCACACATTTGGAATAATAAGATTAGGGGCTAAAGTAGAGTTCAGATAGTTCTAATTCCTTGTCTAACCTCAGAGATTCAAAGATCAAATAGCATTTTGCTCCCAGTTCCCTGTGTGAATGAAGTGAAACCCATTCCAACTGCCTTTTGTCAAGGAAGGTAGAGACAATCTGAGAGTTTAAATGAAAAAAAAAAAATTCTGGAAAAATTATCAATGCAATACCAAAAAGTGGAATTCAATGGGGGTCTCTCTAAGTTCAGATCCTCAACAAAACTTCCATTTCCTTAAAACAAGAAGAGTGCATGGAGGGGTGGGAGGGGCAGAGCCTTGGGCTTGGCAGTCAGGAACAGCAGAACATGAAATTGGCGCTGGTGTTCGCTCATGGTTTTGTTTTTACAAGATGATTCCTAGACTCACCAGTGTCTGCTGATGACAGGAAGGGCGATCTCATGTTTACATTAGGGCTACAGTGGCAGTTCCAAATTCTGGTTCTTGGGAGCCCTACAGGTTAGAGGCAAGAACCCTAAGAGCCGAAAAACATCTGGAGAGGACAGAACTCACTACGAGACGTATTCAGAACCGGTGGTGTGGAATCTAGTTAATTCTAAGTGCAGCAAGTGTTCTCCATGGGTGAGAGCAGCCCTGTCCTGGAAGATCCTTACTCTCACCCAAATGATGCAGTGATTCATTTGCTGGACCCCTTGTCAAATACCTTCTCACTCTTTTAATTAACTGTGGAACACTGTAAACTAAAACCCAGATGAGGAGCAAGCAGATTCCAGAATTGAGCACTACTGTTCACACACCCTGCCCCACCCCACTGAGAAAGCAGGTAGGAGCAGTTCAAGGTGGCATCTGCGACAACTCTCACCAGCCCTTGAGGCTACCAAATGACCTGAGCATTCTTTCTAATGTTTTATTGTGGAAATGTTCAAAAGCACACTAAGCACATTGAAGAGTATAAAGACTGTGATGTGCTCATCACCTGTGATAGCTCAACAGTGATCAACTCCTGGCCAATCTTGTCTCATTTACGCCCCACTCCCTGTGTGCCCCAACCCCAGTTTTTCTTTAGAGGTAAATCCAAGATCATACCATTTCATTTGTAAATATTTCCACATATATAACCAAAAAATTGGGATTTCTAAAAACCATAACCACTATTCTTTTAAAATAATTTATTAATATCATCTAATATCTAACAATCTCAACATTCCAGATGGAGGCCAAAAGCTATTAGCATTTCTTTGAGTTGATATTGTTACACTACTACTAACATCCATGACTGGCAGCCATCTTTATATAACAGATGCAAGCCTTTTCCATATTGCTATTCCACATCTTTGTTTTAATTCATATGCACACAACTTGATTGAGCTCTTAGGTGAAGTGGATGCCAGTACTGGTACAATTTCAAAAAGGAACTAAATGTCCTGGCTTGTTTGGTTCAGTGGATAGAGCATCAGCCTGCAGAATGAAGGGTCCCCAGGTGTGATTCTGGTCAAGGGCACACACCGGGGTTGCAGGCTCGATCCCCAGTAGGGGGCATGCAGGAGGCAGCCGATGAAGGATTCTCTCTCATCATTGATTTTTCTATCTCTCCCTCTCCCTTCTTCTCTGAAATCAATAAAAATATATTAAAAAGAAAAAGAAAAAGGAACTAAGCTGCTGACAGGTTGTGGCAGACCATAACAGTGCTAGGCTCCTAGAGAATAGCACTTCCCTTATCCTTATGTAGCCCCCTCCTACACTGAGTCCAGGATTATCCACGCGACTTCCTTTGGCCAATGGGACATCAGCAAATGCGATGCAAACAGAGGCTTGGAAAGTATTGGTGTTTTGGGACTTGCCCTTCTAAAATGCTGCTATCATATGAAGAGGTGTAGGCTAGCCTGGCCCAGCCAACAGCCAGCATCAAATGCCAAACCAGGTTCAACAGGCCATAGACCCTTAGCCCCAGTCCAGCCATCAGATGACTGCAGTTGCATGAGAATCTCTCAGTTGGACCAGGTCTGAATTTCTGACCCACAGAATCATAAACAACACTTGCTGTTTCGGGCTATGAAGTTTTTGGAATATTTGTTATGCCCAAGAGCTAACTGATAGACATTTTTTATCACCTACAACAAAGAAGGATCTTAAGAGATTAACCTAATAGTCAATTATTTCTAAAAGTACCATTTACCCCTCACCCCCAAAGTCTCCAGCCTTAAGATGCCTTTCCCATTACTAGGACTGCATTTTGAGAATTGAAAGTTAGAACACATAATCTGACAAAAGATTTCTTTTTATTTTGATTTGTGAATTTACGTATTTGTAAAATTATATAAAGCTATAAAAATTCAAATGAATGAAACGTCGATTAAATCACCTTTCTGAAATGGAATTAAATTACATGGAATTGGGCCTGTCCCCAGAACGTCCAGGACATATGGTCACCAGATATCTTCCACTATTAGGAAGAATTCTAGAAGCCCAACCAAGTTTTCTTTAATTGCTTACAAACATTCATAGAGGAAAATATTGGCTGTGCTTACAGGCCTCCTTGCTGCCCTGTGTATACTAAATGTAGTTGTCCTGAGGCAATAAATATATTTTTTTAAAACTGCATTAGCTTTCAGAACAAAATAAAAATCCTGGCTTCGCCTGGTATATACAGCACTCAGTTGTCACCTTGAGTTAGTACTCAGGGCATCTTCCCTCTAAGGTTAGCTGCTTTCTGATTAAATCATGCCCTTCCTTCAACCCAGCATCTGACAAACACCTTGTCATAAGACATGTGATATTAAAAGAGACATTTGAGCACTCACTGAACTTCTACTCTGGGCAAGTGTGCTGCTGTGTACTGGAGCTAGAGAGAGGAATGAGACATCTGACGTAGAGTAGCTCAAAGGGAAAAAGACAAGCAAGTACTGGTACATCCTGAGGACTGTTCAGTCCAGGGTGTGAACATAAGCAAGTGCTCTTCCCTGGGTTAGAAACAATGTGTAGGGGACAAGCAGCAGGGACCCCTTTTACCTTGCCAAGGAAACCCCGTGGATGCAAGACACCTGAGGTGACTCCCACAGGAGGAGTACGCGTTTGCTAACTTGAGAACTGGAAGGAAGAATACTCCAGGTGCAGAAAAGAGAATGGGTCAAGAGAAGGTCTCCAAAGACCTGTCTTCACATTCGAGAAAGAGGAGATATTGAACATGGCTGCAACTTCAGACATCTTAGGAATGGCAAAAGGAAAGGCCACATGGGTCTGAGGCCACAGACAGTGTAGGCCCTTGTACTAACTCAAGCAGTTTAGGCTATGTCCTGCTGGCCATGAAAAAGGGTTTCATTCATTCACTCACATATCCATTCATTCACTCACTATTGTTTGTTTTCTTCAACAGAAATGACATAGTGAGATATGACTCTCAGGGGGATCACCTTGTTTTCAGCTGCAGGGAGTTAGGAAGAAGGAGAGAGCAGAGAAGGCCCCATGGGATGTAGAAGGAGAGAGCAGAGAAGGCCCCATGGGATGTAGCACCTGCAGGATGCCAACCTCGCCAGCCTCTGCTTTTGCTGCTCTCCCAGGCCTTACCCTCCAGTCACACCAGTCTCCTTTAGACTCTTCACACCTGCCAAGCTAGATTCTCCTCCAGTGCCCTTCTCTACGACACTGTCTCTTTAGGCTGTCATCTCAGATGGGCCTTCCTCATCCACACCCCAGTTTCTCACCCTACCTCATCCTCTTTTCTTCATGCTCACAATCTCAGATTCTCAGCTTATTCATGTACTTGGTCACTGTCTGCACCCCATTAGAATAAGTGCTCCTTTAGGACAGTGGCCTTGACTGACTAGGTGGCTGCTGTGTCCCGGGGCCTAGAGTAGTTAATTGTGTGTATCAAGTTGACTGGGTCACAGGATGCCCAGATATTTGGTCAAACAATGTTCTGGATAGGTCTATGCAGGGGGGTTCTCGATGAGATTAACATTCAAATTGCTTAAACGGAGTAAAACGACTGCCCTCCCTGGCATGGGGGGCCTCTTTCAGGCCAGTGAAAGCCTGAGGGGAACACAGGCTGAGCAAGAGAGAATTCGCTTTTTCTGCCCAAGGGTTTTAAGCTGGGACATTGATTTCCTCCTGCCTCTGCACTCCAAGCGGAACTTAATCACTGGCTCTCCTGGGTCTCAGGCCTTCAGACTTCACGCCACCCAAGAGGAAACATGTCTCCAGATTCTGTCTCCCACTGGCCATGGAAGGAACTGGGATGAGGAGGCTTAGCAACAAGGAATGTAATTTGCTCCTCACAAAATGTGCTCCAACCTTCATTTAGAGTCCAGACAATAGTCACATCAGATCAATAACTTGAATAACAGGGGGGCATTTGGCCCACTGGGAGCAATTAGAGCTCAAGTCAACAGGCCATTAAGCTATGATGCACAACCCAAAGCAGGGCCTGCTTCATAGGCATGTGTACAGGACTCCAAGGGCTCTGCTTTCACCATCTTGAAATTCTTAGTAATTTTAACTTTAAATTTGGTTTTGTAAGTGAAGTCCAGTAGGACGATGGAGCAGGTGCATGCTGGAGGAATTAGGCGCAATATGCATGTCTGCCATTCCACACGCCCATGAGCATAGAGTTCCAGTAGACCCTGATATGTGAGCGTTCAGTGAGACGACAAGTGAGTACAAGGTGAGTGGGTCACACCTCTGACTGGCTAAGCAGAGTCACTGTCAGCCCCAGAGGCCATGCTTTCCATTAAAACCAGAACTTGCTTTAAATGAGAGAGATGGTAATGCAAGGGTTCTATCCTACCCTTTCTCAACAGTGTTACTTTCCCATATTAGCCAACCACTTATGCTGAAATGATAACATATAAAAAAATGAGAAGATAGAACAGCCCACAGTTCGTTTTCCTTTTAGCCTTCCTTAGTCATCAGTGAATTGAAGATAGAGTGTTGACAGAATGAACACATACGAAGAAATGAAATAAAAATAGCTGAGCTAGTTTTCACAGTTCTTCCCTTTTCCGGTAAGAACAAAATACCTGTGCATGCAGAGGGGCAGACTCCACATTCTGCTGATTCTGCACACAGGCTAGATGCTCTTATAATTGCATTTTCAACGGGCAGTGCACAATATTAATGAACAGTAAAACTCCTGCTGATACTTTAAAATGTTAACTTTTCTGTCCTTACAATGACATTAACAGCAAATAAAAAGACCCCATAACAACGAGAGAAGGACCAGGGAAGAAAGTAAAAAGATGTTTAGTATTTTTAACAGTAGTATTCCCCCTTTCATTTTTATTTTGCCCTACAAATTATGTAGTAGGCCCTGCCTGAAGTTAAACCCCTACTCAGTGTAAGAAATATGACCTGTCTTCTCTCTCTCTCTCTCTCTCTCTCTCTCTCTCTCTCTCTCTCTCTCTCTCTCTCTCTCTTCATCAGCCTGAATGAAAGTACTTCTGGTAGGATGCATGTTCTTTAACTTAAAATAGCAATAAATAAATAAATAAATAAGCAAGGAAGCAAGTTACCAAGTTTCTGCTAGATCAGCGCTTCTCCCACTTGAGCGTGCTTCACAATCACCAGGAGGCTTGTGCAGACAGACTGCTGGGCCCGCCCACAGAGTTTCTGATTCAGCAGGCCTGGGCCTGGGCCTGAGAACTTGCACTGGGAAAAGCGCTGCTGCAACACACTTGGAAACACAGGTCTAGAGTATGTTGACCTTGGCCTCTGACATTTGTCCAAGCTGGGAGATGCCTTACAAAAGGCATGTTCTGTTACCTCATAAATGTTCAACTGCTCCACTAAGTCCAGGTCAGTCCCTTTCTTGTTCAAGTGCCGCTGGGACACGGCCGCAATGCCCAGCTCCTCCAGGCAGTCCACCACGTCGTAGAAGGTATCTTGGTCTGGCAATCCTGACAACGTCTGGATGGAGAAAGAACAGGACACAGACATGTCTTAGGGAACTGCCTCAAGGCCCTCAGGGCATTGTTTTACATGGTAGCCAGTGGCCGTGATTATAACATGATGGGGGCAAAGGAAGACAGATAACAAGTTCAGTTGAGAAAAACGTTCTGTGGCGTAAGCAGCATGAACCCCAAGATCCCACCCCGTTAGTCAGGTGCTCTGTACTCCCATCTCCTTGAGTGTAGGCAGAACACTCCCATGCCTGGGTTCCATTACATGGCAAGGGTGACGGAACTTTACTGATGTCATGAAGGTCCCAAATCAGATGATTTTGAGTTCATCAACAGGGAGATTAGCCTGGGTGGGCCTGACCTAATCAGGTGAGCCATTTAGAGTGGGCTAAGGCCTTTCCTGAGCTCAGTGTAGGAGAATGATTATCCTGCTGGCTCCAAAGCAGCAGCAAGCCACCATGAGTCCTACAGCTGCAAGGAAGTGAGCTCTGCCAACAACCACAAAGCTTGGAGGAGGACCCCAGCCTCAGATGGGACTCCAGCCCCAGTCAACACCTTGACAGCAGCTTGTGAGGCTCTGAGCAGAGGACCAGGCAGGCAGTGCTGGACCCCATCCCATGGAAACTGTGAGGTGATAAATCTGTGCTGTTGTAAGCTGCTAAGTTTGTGGTAATTGGTTACATGGCAATAGAAAACCAACATAGTCAGTGACCGGCAACTCCTGTTAAGATCAATCTACTGCCCTAGATGGTTTGGCTCAGTGGATAGAGTGTTGGCCTATGGACTGAAGGGTCCTGGTTTCGATTCCAGTCAAGGGCACATGTCCGGGTTGCAGGTTTGATCCCCAGTAGGGGGTGTGCAGGAGGCAGCCGATCAGTGATTCTCTTTCATCATTGATGTTTCTACCTCTCCCTCCCTCTCTCTTCCTCTCTGAAATCCATAAAAATATATTTGAAAAAAATTGATCTACCAATAGCTGGAGTGATAACAATGTAATGGTTCTCTTTTCTTTCAATTTGGTAGGCCTTCCTTTGGTCTGTGAAATTTGGGAAAACATGAGAAATTCCCAAGCAGCAACCTAGAGACAAATAAATACATAAATAACCCAAGAAAGAAACAGCCGACTTCTCTGAATTCTACCTCTCTTACAAGAAGGATGATCTCAGACCAGGCCTCTGCTCAGCACTGTAAAGACCTTTAGCCCAACTGGCGTGGCTTAGTGGTTGAGCATTGACTCATGAACCAGGAGGTCACGGTTCGATTGTTCGATTCCCGGTCAGGGCACATGCCCAGGTTGTGGGATCCATCCCCAGTAAGGGGCATGGAGGAGGCAGCCGATCAATGATTCTCTCTCTCTCTCTCTCTCTCTCTCTCCCTTGCTCTCTCTGAAATCAATAAAAATAAATATTTAGAAAAAAAAGAACTGGAAGGACTGTTGAGGTGACTTACTACAAGTCTTTTATCTTATGAATGAGGGAGATAAAGACCTGGAGGGAAGGAGTTAGCCTGAGGGAAGTTACTGAAGGCCTAGGACAAACTTCTCTCAGAGCTGCTATTCTCATCTCCTCACACACTCAGGCCTTCTACACAAGTCATTCTGGCCTTCAGTTTCAGACACAGACCTTTAGTCTCTATTTATTTCACTACCTTTGCATTTCTAAGAACCCTGCATATACATTTCAAAATTATTGTAAACATGGCGACTGCCCCAAGAGAAAAAAACCAATACTTTCCTAATGATCTTTTCACAACACCACTTCCCTAACACTTCTAGTTTGGGGTTATTAATATTGGAACGAATGTCTTTATTCATAATGCAAACAAAGTCTTTTTCCTTCCCAGGCTGAGCCAAGAGGACACGACTCACTGTTACTGAGATCAGAAATGAATGAGAAATAACTGGGATCCAGTTCATTCGTCAGGGGCCCCAGCGAGGCCAAGGAGCAGGAGGCTGTGAACCAGATGAAGCTATAATCAATGGTGCGCGCACCTGAGTGGCCGGTGTGCCAGTGCGCGCCAGTGTCTGCAGGCGCCAGGTCAGGCAGTCCCAGGCAGCCCACTGGACGGCCTGGCTCCCAAAGCTACCTGAAAAAGTGGGCACGTGCTCAAAGAAGGCTACCATCAGAACAAGCCCATCCTTTGGGTTCAGTCTCTAGAACTTGGTTAGAGGATGAGGAGGTGGAAATGGCGACACCAAGGCCAGGGCAGGGCTGACGGCGGGAGGTGCCCTGACTGCTGACTGTGCCAAACACACAGTTGGAGGAATGCAGTGAGTTGATATTTGGTGTTGGATTGAAAGCTTTCTACACAACAGTGCAGGGCCAGGATGAGGCACCGAGAGAGGCCTCTGGCAGTGTCCTCATCTCTCTGGTCCCCTCCTTCTTTCCTTTTTCCCTATTGAGTTCTGTTCAGAAGTTTCCAGGGGGTTGAATTCCTTGATCTAATCCCCATCCCTCTAGCAGGCCCAACCATGATTGGTTGGGAAGATTACTATCAAATAATTAAACAAATAGGTCTATGGAACCAAACAGGCCCACAGAGCCTTGGCTCAAAAACAGGCCCAGAACTGAGTGTATTAAGAGGTCTTTGGTCATTTCCTGTGAAAATGTGGGTTTGAGCCAAGCCTGCGTTCCTTGCCTTTCATGTTTGGCTGTGGCTACATGGGAGGCAGCTTTCGCCACAAACACATACAGCTTCTTTCTCCGCCTGCATGGGAGGGGACTATACATCTTAGAAACACATTCACCTATTTTCAGCTATTCTCTAACGTGCTGGGCCATTTTGCCATACACCCACCTCTCCCCAACCCCACCCTCTCATCTCTCCCCTGACACCTCACTGCCACAGCGCCTCCTTCTGGCAAAGGTGGCAGCTCCAGAACTGTCTGCGAGGAAAACATTTCCTGGTGCCTTCATGCTCAGGTGACACCTCATGGCCTGCTTCCTGCTTCCCCTCAGATCTTGTCTTCCAGACCTCGTGACAACTAGATCTTGACAGGCACCTAACGGACATTTTCTTTTCCTCTCCAGGGGTTTTCACTGATCCCATCTGATCTTTCTTGTAGGATAAAGCCAGTGTGGCCAAAGCCTGAACACAGACATTTGTAGCAGCATTATTGGTGAAAACCAAAAGCTGCAAACACCCCAATCTCCTTCAGTGGGGGGAGAGATAAGCAAACTGTGGAGTATTTACAATGCACATGCCCAGGAGCAGGAAGAAGAGAGCTGTTAGTACAGCCAGTAACAGACAAACCTCTCCCACTGAGAGAAGACAGCCTCAAAGGGATACAGCCCATCTGATTCCATGTAATATTCCTGAAATAACAACACTATTGTGATAGAGAATAAATCAGGGTTTGTCAGGGGCATGAATGGGGACCAGGATTTCATTATAACAATAGAGAGGTTTGCGGGGAGATGTGCTCGGTCCTAATTATGAAGGCCATCCACAACTATGTATGTGTTAAAACATATACAGCTAAATACCAAAGGGAAAAAACCAATGTTCTGTATGGTAATTTAAAAACAATAAAATAAAATATAAAAACATAGGCAAATACTAAGCATGAATCCCATCTAGGTTACCTACCCCTTGGCCCTGCTAGAGCAGCACCCCTGCCTGGGCTCCCTGACATCCTCCTTCCCCAACACTCCAGCCAGCCCCACGGTAACACCCCTGTTGCTCAGCCCTCACCTGACTCATCCTATTCTATGAGGTGGCCAGTATCTGGCCCACTGAGGGAATTTTGGCTGGATCAGGACAGGACACTACAGTGGAACCTTGGCTCTTGAGCTTAATTTGTTCTGGAAGGCTGTTTGAGAAACAATTAGTTCAGAAATCGAATGATTTTTTTTTCCCATTAGAAAAAATATAAATTGAATTAATCCTTTCCAGACCCCCAAATGATTCCTTTCTTTAACCTTTCTTATATGCAGTGCATGTCTAATATATTTTTAAATCTATAAACAACACTTCTTAAATTTAACGAACCACCCCCTACCAGCCTTAAAGGAACCACATTCAGCACTCATTCCAGGGGGTGTCTCTCAGGAGGTCAGCAGGCGGCATCTTCGCTTTTTCACATGTCACTGCCTCCGAAATGCTGCACTGGCTAACTGTTTTTCCTTTATCCAAATCAACATCTTTTCTGCCTCTTCAATTGCCCTTCACACCTTAGCAGCCTTAGCACTCTTAATAGCCTCTTTATGTTTTAAAATTGTGCTAAGCATGCACTTGCCAGCAACAAAAGCACCACACACACACACACACACACACACACACACACACACATTCACAGCACAATTTCCTGAGATGTTAACAAGGGAAAGTTTAGCTGTAAACTGACTCATACTGGTGCATTCTCTCCTTTGTTTGTGGCCTGAGAGAAGTTACCCCAGACATTTTTTCCGTGAACAACTTGGCTGAGAACCAAATTGTTCAAGATGGGAGACTTTCGAGAACCAAGGTTTGACTGTATATAACTTCAGCTTGCAGAGTAAAAAAAATAGTTTCTGAAACCCCTCAATCTTTTGACAACATGGGTGGAAGGTGGGGGGGAGGATGGAGGGGGATTAGTCTGGATCTTGGAAACCCCCCATTCATGCCCCCGTTTAACAAAGGGAGACTTCAGTCTCAGAACCATGAGCAGGCTAGAATTTAGTCCCCTTGTTTTGTCATAAAACTGTTAACTTTTTTAATTCTGTGTCATTAGGACATCTTTTACTCTATTGAAACAAAAGTTAGAAACCCACTATAATAATTTCCTAGATTTCAGAATGTAAATTTTTTCCAGAACCACGTAACATTTCACTGCATTGTTTTGTTTGGGATCTTAGAGGATTTTACTCACTGGGGCAATAAACATGACTAAAACTCAGCAACAGAAAACAAACCCAGCGTGGGTGCCAGCTGTCTTCTGACCTTTTTGAGGAAAAGATGACATTTGGAGTAATGTCCTGGGGACCTGCCTGGACTTCCTCTGGGCCAGAACTAACAAAAGATGAGACAGAACTGCCAGAAGAGAAAGCGTAAGCGAGGAATTCCTGGACATTAAATGCCGTCGGATGCCAAGGAGAGTCTGACACGCACTGGGTCCGTGCCGGGGATTGGCAGCAGAATGGCCACACCATGCGAACGCTGCCAGGGCCATCAGAACAGCTGGGCATGGCCGCCACCAATAAAACGGATAGCATTACAGTGGAAAACACTCAGCAAGAGAGAAAATTCCATTTTTGCTGAACTCAGTGTTTTCCAAAACAATGTCAGTGACTGAAGATGACAGGAAATTGATGACCTTAATCTTTAAAACCCAACAGAAAATTGCTTTAAAATTGCATGGTAAAATAAGCTCACAGATTTAAAAATAAAAGCAAAATTATCATCTACCAAAAAGTGGTGCTCATTCCCCACTAGGACTGTCATAGAGGTTGCTGAGCCTCTCCAACAAACGCCTTTCGTTAAAAAGCAATCACTGACTCCGGGAAATGTTTTCCTGTACATTTCTTTTAATCTCAGTAGGTTTAATGCTATTACTTTTTCCGCTGGGTTCTTAATATATTTAGGACAGTATCATTTTCTGTCCTATTTTCTGCTAACAATTTCCTACTCTGTCACTTGCCTTGAGCTTCTATTTGTGGTTTTCATTTTTAATGATAAGACCTTAGAGCAGTGATGGCGAACCTATGACATGCGTGTCAGAGGTGACACGTGAACTCATTTTTTTTATTTTTCTTTGTTAAAGGGCATTTAAATATATAAAATAAATATCAAAAATATAAATCTTTGTTTTACTATGGTTTCAAATATCAAAAACTTTCTATATGTGACACGGCACCAGAGTTAAGTTAGGGTTTTTCAAAATGCTGACACGCCGAGCTCAAAAGGTTCGCCATCACTGCCTTAGAGAGTTGTGTGCACTGAAATATTTAAGTCCTTTCCTTCGGAATTTTTCTTGACTGATGGTATTATTAATGTAACCTTTACCTACCAGAGACCAATTAATCTTTTATGTTGAGGTTTTTTTTTCCTCGTTTTTCTATGGCTTGATGTGTTACAATGAACTCTGGAATTGATCCGGAATTTATTCTGGTAGATGGACGAAGTTTTCGTTTATTTCCATTTAGCAAGACCTCCCCGATCATGAACAAGCTAACCCACCCCCTTTGATGTCAGTCACAGCGTAAGAAGTTCCATGCATTGGGCCATCTCACAGTTCCTCCGCTCCCCTCCCTGCTGAGGGAGGAGCCAGGACCACACTGCTTTACCGTTGGAGTTTGCACATCTTTTTTTTTTAATTGTACATTGACTTTGGAAGATAGTTTTGTAGTTTCTTTTTTATATATATTTTATTGATTTTTTACAGAGAGGAAGGGAGAGGGAAAGAGAGGTAGAAATATTGATGAGGGAGAAATATCGATCAGCCGCCTCCTGCACACCTCCTACTGGGGATGTGCCTGCAACCAAGGTACATGCCCTTGACCAGAATCGAACCTGGGACCTTTCAGTCTGCAGGCCAATGCTCTATCCACTGAGCCAAATATCTAGTAGAAGCTACTCCTTGTAATGATGCTGCTTCTACTAACCTGTCCCCAGTTCATGAGGGAAAATGTCCTTAAAAGGACAGCAGTCATAATGGATTAGGGCCCATCCATATGACCTCATCTTAGCTTGATTACATTTGCAAAGACCCTATATTTTCAGGTAAGGTTACATCCACAGGTACCAGGGATAGGACTTCAACATAGCTTTGGGGGGAAACAATTCAACCCATAACAAACATTGACCAACCTTGTTCACTAAAGTCATCGCATAAACTAGCAGCTCTGTGTCGACCCCGTCTTTTTCCTCCAAGATTTCCATGATATTTGACCAGGGTACAACTCCTGCGAGTAAAGCAAAAATCATTAGGAACAGCAATTCAACATTTCCCTTCCAACTCACTTCAGAGTTTATCTAAAGTCTCTTCACCCGAAGATGGCATGTCCTTCAGTCACTGAGTATCAAAGCATGACACAGATTTTGAATTAGGTGACAATATACCACATTATCCTTCTGCACTTGAAAATGTATATTCTTCAGTGTCAGGAGGCCCAACAATTTGCTTGAAAGTTCCCATTATATGAATTACGTAACTTTTAAGAATGCATTCACACACAGCTTTTTAGGCCATGCGTTTCACTTGCTGAGTGCAGAAACCCTAATAAGTTCTCTCTATACATCAGCATGCTACGGTCTGATCTCCTGCAAGGAAAGGAGATGTGGGAGGTCTTCCCATGCACGTGGGCTCTAAGAACTGACAGTGAAATGCCCATCTAGCAAACATTTCAAGAACAGAAGTATATTATCCCTGTGTAATCAAGCACAAATACGACTTAAGCAGAAACCAAGTAGAAGGAACTGGGTCTAGGAGGAGGCTGCCATCAAGAGTTTTATCATATAATAGAGCAGTTAGGCCTAAGTACAAGAACACACGTCCACACAGAGTAAAGGCACGCACATCGGCACTGCCAGGGCCAAGGCCGCAAAGGGGACGCATGCCCCTGACCCACTTCCTGTGCCTGAGACAAGCATTTGAAGTGAAGTGTCGCCTTGCCCATGGCGTGGCTGGGTGGAACAGGAAGCTCTTTCCTCTTTCTCTCTACAGACCTCAAATGATAATGCTCATTTTTTGCTGATAAAAGTAAATTCTGAAGTAATCCAAAGCCAGTGGCTTCTAAATGCCGGTTCTTGGATGGGTTGTGTCAGAGCTGAAATGTCTACAGGAAAGTCAATGGAGATCTTTGAGGGAAGGAAGTGGGTTAAGCTGGCGCAGTTGTAAGAGAACCAGAGGGTCAATGCACAGTCAGAAAAAGAGAGAAGACAGGAGAATTTAAGAAGGGAACAGGCACCTACTACACAGTGTGGAAGACACAGATATCGTTTGATGTAGATCTCTTGGCTCTCCCAGCAAGTGAACAGAAAGCCCGATCCTTCCGCCAAGTTGCCCAGTTGGTCAGAACCAGACGGGCTGCCATACCCTTTCTAACTCTGGACACAAAAGCATGATCCTTCAACCATTAACTGCTGAATGATCTTCTTGCTGGTACTTATCATCAAACTATGTTGAAGTCCTCACCTGTTCTTCAAACCCCAGCAAAGTAACCATTTCTGCCCTCAGGACAGCCAATCAATGTGGTTAGCAGGTCTTGGGCCTCACTGTCTGGGTGCAGTGCTTGTGTTCATAACAAGGGCAATTTCTATTATTCACACTCGGCACCCAACCTCAGCAGAAAACACATGTTCTAGTCAGTCATCCACGTATGGTTAAAAGGCAGACTGTGCAGGAGAGAAAGCATTGAAGCTAAGAATTTCCAGTGGTGCTGGTGGGCCCAGAACTGCCTCCTGATTGCACACTTTGAAGCCAAAGATGCCAAACCAAGCCTGGGATGGAAAGGCCAAGAAGCAAAGGCAAGCATCTAGTAGAAAGGGAAGTAGCCAGGTTATACACTCTCTCTCTCTCTCTCGCTCTCTCTCTCTCTCTCTCTCTCTGGTGCACCATTGTGTCCTTTATGATGAAAACACCCAAATACTGTCTTAATTTAATTGAAAAACGTGATATTTAGCTATGATATCTGATTCTCTACTACTATTTAAGGATTTCAAGTTTGGAAACTAGTTGGGATGAATGTTCATTCTGCTTTGTTTGGGAACCAGAAAATAGGAACTATTTAGAAGAATGAAGGTAAAGGGGAGGAAACATTTTGGTTCCACACAGCAGCCTTGGCCGGGCTCAAGCTGGCCTATGTTAAGCACCGGCCGCTACGACGTGCCCAGGAGCTGCCACCTGCCGGAACTAAGTGGCCCAGTTCACCCAGCACTACAGTGATTATGTGTGGGGGTGTGGGGTGGGGAGGAGTAGGGAGTGGGGGTCCTGTTTTAGAGTCATAAATCATATCATCTGACTTCTTCACATAACAGAGAAAGAAACAGAGCCCCAGAGTTGTGGAATGTACGGTGGCTCAGCAAATGCATCTAAATTGGAGTGATGGTATCAACCTCATAGGATTGCTGGGAGGTCTCATGGAGATAAAGCCCTTGGCCTTTTTGCCTTAGCACTGACCAAGCACATGAGAAGGCAATAAGTTACTTAACCATGATCAGCTGTCTCTCTCCAACTCCACCCCCAACCCCTGGAGTGAGTGTAGGCTCAACAAGAGCCTGTTTATTTATCTGCTGTTTCAAGCACATAGTTGGTATTTAAACATTTGTCAAACAAATTAGTTTTATATAAAAATTTCTTAGCATAGAGCCTGTTACATGGTAGGCACTAGAATATCAGTAGCTATAATTGTAATGGTGGCTGGGGGTGTGCTGACACTCCCAGAGGACAGGCTCCTAGGCCAGTACTCTCTTAACCCAGAATAAATAACTGTTCAATACTTTCCCCCTTTCATTTTCCTCCTAGGTCTCCGAATTAAACCCCAAAGAAAGTAAGATATTTAGCACAATGCCTTGTACACGAGTTGGTCTCATACCCAAACAGAAGGTCCCCATGGTATGTTCTACGTCTTTCAACACAATTGATGAACACACTTAACACACATACTTCGGCTATAAATAATAATGGGAATAGGGCTGGTGTTCTGTCATCCCCTAAAACCCACTATGCTTTGTGCATTCTTCGCAGATCCATACATCCTGAGCAGAAATCAGAGACAGGAGAGCTTGAAAGGATGGCGGGACAGTTTCCCCTGTTAATCATGTGTGCTACACATGCTGGAGAATTAGGTCATATCTCATCACCTCCCATGCAAATGAAAAATGGAGCTTCTTCAAAAGCAGTGCTGAACCGAATTGGTGCTGACTCATCATTTACGATGGAAATTTCAAAAGGGGTTACCCAGTCTGGTCACTTGCCCCACCCTCTGTCTGAGGGACAAACCCATATAGTCAGAGGGAAGGACACCCTTCCCAGGGCTGCAGAGGGTTTGCAACCAGTTTCCTGTCCATCTCAAGGAAAGGAGGCAGATGACAAAGCAAGGCCCTCTCATGGGCTTCTGGAAGAATCACTGCCTCTCTATCTTTCTGCCAGGCTCTGAGAAGGTGACTTGGAGATCCAAGCCAAAGAGAAGATGACCCAGCAGTCTGAGCAGATGGGTGTGTCTGCTCTAAAAACATTTTTTTCTTTCCTTTTCTTTCTTTTCTTTCTTTCTTTTTCTTACAAGTTGGGAAAAGATGGTCATCACTTTGTCTTGGGGGAGAGACTGAGTAGAGCTCAAAGCCTCCTTGTCGTGCCCCAGAGACTACCTTGAATCCACCTTTTCATTTCAGCCCCGGAAATAAAAGTGCCAATTGTCTGGATCAAAAGGGGCATTTTAGATTTTCATTAATTCATAAATATTGATCAGTCCCCATGATGGACTTAGACTCCTCAGCTTTTATGCCGGCTCCCTAACTGGCCCACTCTTGGCCAAAGGGCAAACTATCCACGCACACATAATGAACCCTCTGGTTAACCCAGGCATGATGTGTATAAAGCAACCAGGAGGATTTATCCTAAGAGAACTTCATTGGCTGCTGGTGGTAGTAATTTTTGAGGACTCCTAGCTTATTTATTGATTCTTTAAGTCTGAGAGTTTTTATCATCCAAAAGAATTCCTTTCTATTCAAGCAAACCCAGTCTATATTTTAATATACCCATTCTCCACCCCATCTCCCCAGAGGAATGTGTTTAACGCCACCTGAGGAGTAAAATTTATGGCTTAAGCTTGTGCACAGTGGACATGCTTGGCTGGCCCTCATCACCTCTGGCACCTCTGCTCTCACTGGCCGAGGAGGAAGTGGAGAGCTGCTTCCACACCTACCGGTGGAAACACACCTGGGAGTCAGGAGCTCTCTGCAAACACCATGATATATGTATATGTTTAATTCCACCACCGGGTTCAGGAACACTGACCAGCAGTAAAATAGGATGATGTTATATGCGTGCATTACGGCCAAGACCACACATGTCCATAGAGGAATGTGCTATTGAACCACATGTGATAAACTACATGTCTCAATTTGTTCCACTGGTGATATTCCTTCTTTTCTTCCAGCTGCTAGTGCTCAGGAGCAGACAGATGACAGTAGTTGCCCAAAACTTAAGAAATTTTATAGGCAAAAAAACATGAAGTAAACAATCCATTAACTTGTTTAATTTTTTCCCTTTGTTTTTTACTTTTTTTACAAGTTGGGTAAAGATGGCCATCATTTGTCACAGGGGAGAGACTGAGTACAACTCTGAGCCTCTGGCTGAGCCAGTGGATGAAGTCTTGAATGGAACGTCATGCTCTGGGTTCATCTTCATGAAATGTGAGGCTCAAGGAAGGAAACAGCTCCCAACTCAATGAAGTCAAAGCACAACCCCAAGGTCATGAGAAGACTGGCCCCTCTAACATGGCCCCCATGACAAGGGCCCATGGATTACCTGGAATTTAGGACAGAACGCTAAAGAGTCCATTCATCATTCTAAAGTAATCCCCAGAGTTGGGCGTCGAGCATGACTCCTCTAAGCATGAATGAAAGGATCTGCCTCACTATCTTCCCAGACACCCACCTCTGTCCCTAACTCTCATTCACTGGCCTTGCGCCCCCCCCACCCACCCTCCCCCGTTTCTGAGTCACTGGCCGTCTTTTCTGAGGATCTCAGCTGGCTCACGATCTACTATTGGCCATAAGGAATTTTCAAATCTGGTACCAGATGACAACATGCTGTGGTAGAAAGAAACACACAGACCTGTGCCGGTCTGGAGCCCACCTTCCAGACTCACGGCCCTGACCGTGCATGAGGTTCGTCTCTGTCACACACAGCCACACAGAGGCCCGGAGCTGCCCCGGCCTGAGATCCACCGTGCAGGGAGCTGACATCTGCCTGCGCATTCATGGGAAAGGTATGGGGGCCCAATTTATGGTTCTGGATGGTTTTCATTAACTTACATTCCGATTTTCAAAGGAACCAGTGATCTACTTTCTTTCACCTTTGAATTTAGCCCTGGAAAGTGTGTCTAGTTGTATCTCAGCTGATTTGTGCATAAATCTGTGCAGACGCACGTACACCATAAGGAAATGTACCCCTGTGTTAACACGATTTCTGTCTGGTGAGATGAGAGGTGATTCTGCTATTGTCTGCTTTATACTGTTTTTTTTTTCTAAATTTTCTACAGAGAGCATTGCTGTTATAATCATAAAAAGAAAATAAATGTTATCAAGTTTTTGATCATCATCATCACCTATCTTACTGGGGAACAAAACTAAAAGTTTGTTTTTTAAAAGGACAAAACAAAACAAAAAAACCTTCAACATCTTGGTTTCAGGCTTCACAATATTATAGGGTCCACAGCATGTTACACACTGAACCAGATCCAAAGCTGACTCTTCGTCAAGTGTGCAGGGCAGGCCCGCTAGGCGCTGGGACACCAAGAGGAGAGCCAGGCACCCTGTCCTCAGGCAGGGCACACACTCAGGAGAGACGGGCAATGAACACAGCACAGCAGAGAAGAGGGGCACATGGGGGCGCTGAGAGCACATGGCTGTCTGAGCCAAGGGAGGGGGGTGTGGTGCAGGCCAGGTGGGAGACAGACACGTGGCAGGTAGCCAGGGGCTGGATGGTACAGGGTCAGATGAAGGGCTTGGATCTAATCCTGTGGGCACTGGAAGCCACTGGCAGGTATCAGATGGAAAATGGTGAGGCCAAATTTTAGAAGAATCCTCCAACTGCAGAGGCCAGCTGTAGCCCTTGGGGCCGGCAAGGAACACCAGGTGAGAGACAGCGAGGGACCCCAGTAGGGAAGGGACATGTGGTGGAGGGGAGGGAACATCTAGGGGTCAGAGTGGATAAAGCCTGTGTGAAAGGAGGGGAGTAAGGAGCCAGGACAGGATGGGAAAGGAGGAGAAAGACCTGGTCCTGTGTGTGCTCAGTGGCGGGGGACAGAGTGAGAAGACAAGCTCAGAGCGAGTGCTTTTCTTCCCCTGCAAACCTCGCTTTGTCTCTAATCTTTATATATTCACTATGTTTCCTCAGTGGGAGGTCCACACAAAGGGAATTCTGTTTGTCCTAATTCTGTTTTGAACGTGTAAGAAGTGGGAGTCTTCCTACATCAGACAATTTCCCTTGATGAAATCAGGGGGCGGGGACCACTCACCTCTTTTAGTGTCCACAGCAGAGACCGCCTGGATCAGAAGGGGCGCGTTGGACTCCGAGTACTCCACAAAGACCAGCAGCAGCTTCAGGGCCGTCTTCACCACCAGGCGGAACTGCGCAGAAAAGACACCATCACGGGGGGCACACACAGCCCCTTGCACCCGAAGGCATCGTCTCTAACAGCAGCGGGCACCATGCGTGCTTTGGCCCAGGCTTCATCCCGGGGGCCTCAGAAGGCAGGCATGAGAATTATCCCCACTGCACAGATCAGGAAACTGAGGCACGGAGCTGCCCAGGAATACACCCATAAAATAGAACCCAAATTTGAAGCCAGGGCCTTTGGTCCCAGAGCTCACACCCAGGGTCTCTCAATACCCCAGGCAGTGGTGGCTGAGTCAGTGACAGTAGTTCCCCTTATCCGTGGGGATACGCGCCAAGATCCCGAGTGGATGCCTGAAACCACCAAGGGTACCGAACCCTTCATACTGTTTTTCCCTATACACACACACCCACAATAAAGTTTAATTTATAAATTAGGCACAGTAACAGATGGACAACCTATAATAAAAAGGACAACTATAACAATATACTATAATAAAGTTACATGAATATAGTCTCTCTCTTTCTCTCTCTCTGTTATTGCACTGCACTGACTCTCCTGATGTAAGATGACACAAGACCTACGTGATGAGATGCAGCGAGGTGAACGAAGCACATGTTATGACGTAGTGTTAGGCTACTATCAGGGTGACTTGAACACAAACACTGTGATGCTGTGACAGTCCTGACAACTGAGCCGGCTGCTCCACGACCACCAGGCAGGGAGCGTATCTACAGTGTGGATCCACTGAACAAAGGGATGGTTCACATCCCAGGGGGGATGTAGCAGGACAGCACAAGATTTCATCACACTACTCAGACCAGCAAGCAATTTAAAAGTTATGAATTGTTTATTTCTGGAATTTTCCATTTAATATTTTCAGACTGCAGCTGAGCATGGGTAACTAAAATCACAGAAAGCAAAACCGCAAGTGAGGTATTTTCTAGACTAGAGCATTGTAGAGTAGGAATGATCACAATTCTCATTTTTTTGGCGAGGACACAGGGACAGCAGGTTAAATGGCTTGTCTGAGGTCACGACAGCTAGGTCAGGTGAGCAAGCATCTGAACCAAGTCTGGTCTTAAAACTGAGCAAGCGAGGCCATCTGGGGCCTTAAAACCCACACTGGCTGGGCCCAGGGCACAGCATTTTTGAGGAGCGAAACACAGAGTCTCTCCTCCACACAGGTCACAGTAATTCAGCCAGAGAAATTCCCAAACTTCCCCCTGCAGCCCAGCCAGCCCTGGGCTGTGGCAGTGGCAGATGTTTCCAGATCAGCCCTCTTCCTGCCGTTCCCCCCCTCCCTCCAAACACTGCTTCATCCTTCATCCACAGTCTTGTTTCCTGGACCAGCTTCCTTCCAAGAAGCACCTCCTCAGGACACTCACACACCAACTACCTCCTAGAAATGGGTTCAAATCATGCATCTAAGAAACAGCAAGCCTTCCCTGGCTAATGTTGCTCAGTGGTTAGAGAGTTGGCCCATGCACCAAAGGGTCACGGGTTCAATTCCTGGTCAAGGGCACGTATCTGGGTTGCAGGTTTGATCCTCACCCCAGTTGGGGCCCATGTGGGAGGCAACCAGTAGATGTGTCTCTCTCACATCAATGTTTCTCTATTTCTCCCTCTCTCCTCTTCCTCTCTCCCCCCTTCCCTCCTTCCCTTCCACTGTCTTTAAAAATCAATGGGAAAAATATCCTCAGGTGAAGATGAACGAAAAAGACAGAAAAAAGGGAGGGAGGGAGGGAGGGAGGGGGGGAGGGAGGGAGGGAGGGAGGTAGGGAAGGAGAGAAGGAGGGAGGAAGGGAGGGAGGGAGGGAGGGAGGGAGGGAGAGAGAGAGAGAGAGAGAGAGAGAGAAGAAAAGGAAAGGAAAGGAAAGAAAAGAAAAGAAAAGAGAAAAGAAAAGAAAAGAAAAGAGAAAAGAAAAGAAGAGAAAGACAGAAAGACGGAAGGAAGGAAGGAAGGAAGGAAGGAAGGAAGGAAGGAAGGAAGGAAGGAAGGAAGGAAGGAAGGAAGGAAGGACAAGCTTGTCCCATCTCTAGCAAGTTGTTTGTCAGTTGCCCACCCCTCACAGGCAGGAACACGACCTGAGGAGAGGGGCTTATTTGCACTGTTTGCAGGGCTGTTATGACACTTGGCACATATTGGGCTCAGCGATGTTTCCTTAATGAAATAATTAGTCAATTAATGACCAATCAATGCATGACCCTCACCTCCTCACCATCGTGGTGGAGAACTGGCTCCAGGTTCTCCACTTGCAGCCCAAGGAAGACCCAGGGCCTCCCAGATGTATGTTCTCACGTCAAAATCTTAGGGACACGTGGGACTTTACAGAGAACTTGGGGCATCATGCACTCCCACAGGGAGCAGAGTAAAAGCACCACCCACCCCAAGTCATGTCTCCAAAATCATGCAAACACCTCTGCTGCCCTGTCCTGCTCTCCTCGGTCACGCTTCCCTAGTAAACCATCGTCTTTTCCTGACTCCACATCTCTCTCCTGCCAGTCCTGGGGTTCTCAGCTCCCCTTTACAGGAAAACTTCTCAAAAGAGTTGCCACACCCCTGGCTCCAGTTCTTCACTTCCCAGTGACTGCACAATTACACCGAGGACATCCTCATGGCTCTGTCCTTACCACCTGGGATGGAGTTCTTCAGAGAGCCCTCAGCTCTTCGGGGCATTTTACCTTCATAACTTGAGTCCTGCATTTGGTCCTCTGTCCCCTGAGAAGGAATCAACTAAATTCCAGAGTGTTTTTCTCACCAACTACAAGGTTGGGGGTAGGAGGGTAGGCAATGGCATAATAAACTGCACTATCTTGGTACACTTAGAGCTCAAGAAATTTCTCCAAGTAAATAAAACACCCAGCAAGTCCAGGCTTGGCGACTTCCTTAGTGGGCGGACTGTCATTATGTGGTTTAAGTCTACCCAGTGCCTTCCTGGGAAAGAACCTGGCTGCTGCCCAACCCCGCTCCCCATTAGCCGGTCTTAGCAGGGGTTCTCATGCCCATCTCATCAAGGTTTCTTTTGAGCATCTCTGGGGCCTTGGCTGACATGGTCCCAGGACCCAGGACCCCTGAGCCACTCTCCAATACCAGGCTCTCTAATTAAGAAACCACTGTTTTCTAGAAAATCCTTTTCTATTGGTCTCAACATGCCTATTCATGTCTTCTCTTTTGTTTAAAGACTCTGTTTGGAGTATTTTGGGCACTGTAAGAGAGAGAGAGAGAGAGAGAGAGAGAGAGAGAGAGAGAGAGAGAGAGACACCCCCCAAACTCATTCATGATTTCAGGTTTCTAGCAATTTGGTTACAGGTGAGTCTAAGTTTATGTTTACATGTGTTTGGAGGACTTACTATGTGAAATTAATAAGCATATTGAGTAGTTAAGCTACTTTAGAAAAGAGAGAACATGAGAACATTAACTTTATGGAAATGCATGATACTAAGGGAGAACATGTCCTAACTAATCATCAAAATACAGCCAGCAGGACTCATCAGAAATATCTTCTTAGCATTGCTGCATACACCTGGAAATGATAAAAGTATGTTACTTCAAAAGGTCTCTATATCAATCCCTCATTTATTCAGAAAGCACTTAATTTGATGCCCTCAAGTATGTAAAATAGTCAAAACCCTCCAAAGCTTTGGAACAGCCACAATGGAGGCCACACACCCATTCTTCCAAGTCCAAACATGTGGCTCATCTCTATGCTCTTAAAAATCCACACTTGGTGCTACTTGAACTTATCATAGGCATTCTAATAAGCTCGGCTGAAAGGAGCAACCCAGAGACCAGTGACAGATCAGGTAAGGCAGGTCCACTGTGGCACCAAGAGTGAGGACCACGAAGGAGGAGGGTGGGAACAAGCCACGGCTGCCAGGGCAGACACCACCACCTGCCTCAGACGCAAAGGCTCCCCAAAGGGGCGTGGCCGTGTCTCTCCCATCTGAATTGTCTGATTTTCAGCTCTGCCTGGTGCTCCTTCATGTCCCAATGAAGAGTCTCATTGCAATGACTTATAAGCTCAAACACTTGCCCACCTGCCTAGCACCAAGCGAAGATCAATCAGAACTGATTCTCATTCTTATGGAAGAGCGACCATTGGAAAGATAAAGCAACCAATCACAGCGAGTTCAACAGGGACGCAGGGCAGCAAGGAGTCAGCCTCAGAGCAGGGGCTGCGGCAGAGAGTGCAGTTCCCACATTGGGATGTTCTCTGTGGCCACTCGCTGAGGTTACTGCTGGAAGAATTCAGAGCCTGGATGGGGGTGGACTGGCTGCACCATTTAAGGTCCCTCCCAATCCCAAGATGCCCTGCTTCTTTCAACGTCTTCAGCACCTGCCAGATGCCCAGGACCCAAGGAGATGTAGGACCCAGAACACCTACAACACACAACTGAGAGTGTTACCCACACTAGAGGTCCTCAGAGCCAGGGCTCGAGGACAAAAAGCCCTTCCCAGGGGACAGCCCTTTCCGGGAAGAAGGGAGTCAGTCAGACAGACTCAGAGCGGATCCAGCCACCTTTCTGGGTTTCCACGGAGCAAAAGGTTATGTGACACCCTCTGGGCTCCTGCTCACACACATGATTCTACTTCCTTGGGGCTGGAGGGAACACTCAGAGGGTCTACTCAGCCTTTGGGCCACACGTTACCTACTTCTCAGGTGATTACCTCTAGGGAATGCTGGTGTTCTATTTTAACGCTGTCCATTCTAGTCAGTGATGCTTTAAGTTGCTCACACACACAGCTAAATGACAGTATGTAACAGGAATCGGAGACCAGCCCTTTGCACTGGGCTGAAGGGGAGACAGGCACACCTAGCCAGCTGTGGACTGCTGTGCTTCTCATGTGTGTTTAGCACATTTGGGGGAACCGGGCTGAGCTTTACTTTCTGCAGCAGCTCTCAATTCGTACTCTCTGTTCCTACTCAGTGTGAAACAGAGGCTGAGTCCTCATGGGGACAGAAGTGCCTTTAACGCAGGGATGTACATTAGTCAGGCCTCAGTTGAGGT